AACGAACTGGGCGCTCGATTGGCAAGAGCCATATTCGTCCTGTGCAACTGAACTGAACTGTGCAAACTGCACTGAACTGAAACGAGAACCAAGTGGGCTCGACTCAGATGTCTCGTGAAAAATCTTTGGTTTCGCAAAAGGTTAAGCGATTTGAGAAGTGACTTAAGGTTTGTTGTAAACCTTTGGAACCAAATCCTACTCAATGGTAAATTGGGTTTTGTTTAAATGCTTCAATAAAGATATAATTCACCTTCGGACCAATTCGATTTCGTTCGACGTTGAGGTTCCGGTTTGCGGGCTTCGAGTCTGTTGCAGTGAAATGGTTGATGAAGTAACGAAAAAGACACTAGCGGCCATTCCGCAGCTGAAAACCAGAGCAGGACCCAGGGACGGTGACCTATGGGTTCAGAGGCTGAAAGAGGAATATTTAGCATTGATCAAATACGTTGAAAATAACAAAGAAGCCGACAATGATTGGTTCCGAGTCGAGTCCAACGCGAATGGAACACGTTGGTATGGAAAATGTTGGTAAGTTTCTTCAAAAACTGATAATTTACTGTATCAGGTACATACACGACATGAAGAAATACGAGTTTGACTTGAATTTCGACATCCCAGTATCATACCCGAGCACCAATCCCGAACTGGCTCTCCCAGAGTTAGATGGGAAAACTGCTAAAATGTACCGTGGGGGAAAGATTTGCCTTACTGACCACTTCAAGCCTCTATGGAGCCGAAACGTCCCGAAATTCGGTATTGCCCACGCGATTGCCTTGGGTCTTGGTCCTTGGATGGCTGTTGAAATACCAGACCTAATCTCCAAAGGAATAGTTAAACACAGAGATGACGAATGACATCTTGATATCTGCGCGCAAACAGGATTTTCTGACATGTGATTATGGGTACACTCCGACAATTATTTTATTTATATGCTTCCATTCCATCAGACCACCCTTGTACAGTTCTCTCCAAAGGAATAAAGTTCCATAATTTTTTGGCTATTCCACGATCAACTTTGTTTATTTTTTCCCTGCTGCCTTTCCACGTTTCTGTACTAAAAGTAACTAGCTGTTTTGTGTGGTGGAGTACGAAAGTGTAATTTACGTACAAGCGAACCTATGAATCCTGCCAAATTGTACGTGTCCATAGCAAGTTTTCTTCCGTTTCACCGAATACCGCTGCACAAATCATTGAAATTTTCGGAACCCCTTCGGTCACTTTTCAGAAAATGGCCTAACCATAAGAGCCGGGTGTTCTGACTTATGCAATTTCAGTTCTAACTTGCACACAGGAAGGCTCTGTACGTTCACTCTCCATTTAGCTCTTCGCTAAGTGCTCTTACTCAACCGAGCGTCCCACGTAGCCTTGATGTGAAAATCTGTTTTCACGAGATGTCCCTTCATCTAAGTCAGAATCCGACTTCCGAGGTTATAACTACCTAGATGAACCGTCCGGGAAATTGGCGAAATGCCTTGATTGCGAAACAAACAGATGCATACGGACGATGCTCACAGCTTTGTGACTCTGACTAATCATGGGATTCAAGGTTTGACTCCGTGCTAAAGGTGCAGGATACGATGATCTGACCCGTAAAGGATTGCTGTTTTCATACGATGCGCGTTAGGCTTTGGTTAACGGAAGGCTTCGGATGTTTTGGCCCGGTAAACATGAAAGTATTCTAAAGACAAGCAAGTATGGATGTGTATCTTTGTTACGATGATTGTTGTATCGTCCTTTGTTGAGCATACATTCTGAACTCAGATGGGCGCGGAATGTGCAGTAATATAATAACACGACAATTACAGTACAGCTAACTTAATGAACACCACATTCAGGTTATCTAACCACGGGAGGTTCACATTTTGGGGAGACCTTAGAATTCAGGCTTCTTCGCACTTTAAGTTCCTTGGACTCAAACAGCTTGGTTCCCTCTATTCTACGGTCAATTTTGACTTACGCTAGGGCGAAAATTCTTGGTGCGGCCTCTTCTCAAGGGATTGGTTCTTTTGGATGATATGTTTAATTAACAAATAGTATAGTTCTGGTTTACCTTAGGTTTTCACTGCGTGATATTCCCTACATAGCATTTTTATTACACATTTGTGATGAACAACAGACGGTGAAAGCCCCAGAGTCACGAAGACCTGCTGTTCAGCACGGGGCAACAGATACAGAATGAAGCGTCGATGCTTGCTCGTCGTATCGGTGTATGCTCCGACCGATTTCAGTACACCTTAAATCCAGGGTGAATTCTATACGGATCTGTCTCAATTAGTCGCAAGTGTTCGAACAACGGATGTCGTAGTAGGCGCCGGAGACTTCAATGCCCAAGTGGGACGAATCAGAGAGGTTCTTGGTGGACCGCATGCAATCCCAGCCAACCGAACGGACAAAGGAGATGGTCTATTCCAACTCTGCGCGGACCACGGATTTTTCTTGTCAAACACGTACTTCTCACACAAGAAACGTCACCGTCTTACATGGAAACCGTCAACCTCTTCACAACGCTGGACCCAGATCGACCACATCGCCATCAGTTACCGCTGAAGGGGATCAATTCAAGACTGCCGCTCTTACTGGTCAACAGCTGTGGATACAGACCACGCCGTGTTACGAGCCAAATTCTCCCTACGCCTGGCAAACAATTGCAAGAAAGCCACCGACAACGGATATCCACGATACATCGTCCGCGATGGCTGCAAATCGGCTTTCGAAGCGGAGCTCTCCGATCACCTCAGTTCAGCCACCAGTCGAAGGACTCAATGCACACTGGATGCAAATCAATTAAGCTATGCAGATATCGATAAAAACAATGTCGGACGCTGGCGCAGGTTCAAAACACAAACGATGGATATCGTCGACCTCGGCTGCCTTGCTGGACGCCCGCAGAACCCTGCCTCCAGATGCCACATATGACAGCGCGCAAATCCCTTTAGCGCCAGCTCATCAAGAGTCTGAGGAATGACCGCGAGAATTGGTGGTTAGAGAGATGGAGAAGGCTTCGGCTATCAGCAGTGGTCGCAATCTTTTCCGTCTAATTAGGAATACAGACCCTAGGAACGTAGGCGTGAGTGAGGTAATTAAGGAATCCAATGGCACACTGATTCACGATCAGCAACGCCGTCTTGACCGATGGGTAAACATTTCAATGCCCAGTTCAACTGGCACCCATCGGCATCTGATCTTTGACTCTCCACCATGACTGGGCAACTACTGCCGGTTGATGCTAGTCCACCATCTGAAATGGAGATTACCCGAAAAGTAAGTTATCTCAAAAGGAATAAAGCTTCCGGGCCCAACGGTTCTTAAGGAAGCAGTTTCAGCCTTGGTTTTGGAGTTAACAAAACTCCTGGGTTCAGTGTGGGAGAGGGAAGAGGTTCCAGCTGAATGGTGTAAATCGGTAATCATACCGATTTACAAGAACGGCGACAAGTCCTGTGAAAGCCACAGAGAAATTAGTTTTATCAACATTACCTCTAAACTTCTCGCCGGCATCATACTCCGATGATCATCTGCCGTTCGTGAACGGTGTGCGCATGAGTACCAGGCTGGGTTTAGACCCAGTCGAGGTTGTATCGATCACATCTTTACTCTCCGCTAAATTCTGGAGCACCGGCATTCTTTTCGTAGACCCACCATCTCTGTCTTCCTAGATCTGAAAGCGGCTTTCGACTCAGTCGACCGCTCTAAACTCTGGCGCTGCCTTTCCCTGAAAGGTGTGCCCGAGAAGTTGATTTCAACATTACGATCGCTTTATACTAATAGCCGAAGTCGAGTCCGGGCTTACGGCTCTTTTTCGCTCGAGTTCACCACAGAAAGTGGTGTTCATCAGGGTTGCCCTCTCTCTCCATTTCTATTTAACTTCATTATAGATCTGATTATGGAAACAGCTCTATTTTCGTGCGAGGAAAATGGCATCAATTTACTCCCAGGTGGCAGACGACAGTGCTATTAAGTGAAGATGCCGGTAAGTTGCAAGCTTTTTGGGATAGCTTGAATGTCAGTTTAGCCATGTTCGGTATGCGTTTTGCACCTTCAAAGTGCAAAATGTTACTGCAAAACTGGGTGGGTCCAGCACACAGACTCATTTACTGGGGAAGTAATAAAGCAAGTGGGTAAGTTTTATTTTTTGGGCAGCCACATCTCACCCGGTGGACGCATCACGGATGAAGTGTCAACTGGCATACAGAAGTCCCAGTTGGTA